GGAAAGGAGGCAAAGGAGGCGAAGGAGTTAAGAGGAGAAGAAAGGAAGGTAGATACAAGAGGGAGAGCACATGAATAGGAAAGATAAGTGAAAAAAGAGGGAGAGAAATACAAGTAGAAGGAGAACGAAGGTCAAAAAGATCAAAAGGACGTTACACAACACAGCTTGCCTCGCCATCCACCCTTTCGTGTAAAGTAAGATATCATGTTCAATGTTACCGTTCCTAGTTAAAGGTTTTCATTGTTAATAGCGCTTATCATGCAGTTTTAATTCTTCCTATGGGTTTATATTTTACCTTTTGTTTTTATTTTCGTTTTTTTTTCAGTTTTCACATGACTTCGTCCTGAGCAAGTCATATCAGCAAAGATATAAATGGAGTGAACACCTAGTATGTTCAAGTCAACAACTATCTTTTGTGGGAGTTGGAAATAAGCAAACAACACACAAAATAAACAAAGAAATCAAAGAGAAAGGTGAAGGGAGTTGTCTTAGAATGAATTCACAAGACTGGCAGAGGAATCTAGTAGAAATTGGCATCGAAAATTGGCGTCGACCGAACGAGAAAAGATGCTTTTTATTTTTTCAGTGTATTTTCAGATGACGGAATACCTTTGGAAATATTAAGGTATTGGGGAAAGGTCCGATAAAGTCTTCTGTTTCTTTTGCTGGGAGAAAAGAAGAGAGAGAAAGAGAGAGAGAGAGAGAGAGAGAAAGAGGGAAGAGAGAGAGAGAGAGAGAGAGAAGAAGAGAGAAGAGGGAGAGAGAGAGAGAAGAAGAGAGAGAGAGAGAGAGAAAGAGAGAGAGTGGGAGAGAGAAAGAGAGAGAAGAGAGAGAGAGAGAGAGAGAGAGAGAGAGAGAGAGAGAGAGTGAGAGAGAGACGAGAGAGAGAGAGAGAGAGAGAGAGACGAGAGATAGAGAGAGAGCAGAGAGACAGTCAGACAGACAGAGATAGAGAGAGCGAGAGAGATAGAGATAGATAGAGCGCAAGAGAAGGAAATCCCATAAGAAAGCAAGCATCAGCAGCGGTAAAGAAAAAGTAAACAGAAAGAAAAAAATGACACGGAGCTCAAAATGCATACAACAATAAAAGCATCCGGGCTCATTCGCAGATATGATAACGGGCGCTGATTGGCAGAACTATCCGGTTTATTAACCAAACAGCAGCAGACGGACGGGTCTCCATTGGCTCGCCTCTGCAGCTGCACGTTTGGCTTTGAGCAATTTTATTTGTTTCATTCAAGGCTGATCCGATTGCAGTGCGCTTTGTCCATATCCACGCACACTTATATATGTGGATATATATATATATATATATATATATATATATATATATATATATATATATATATATATAATATATATATATATATATATATATATATATTATATATATATATTATATATATATATATATTATATACGTATGAACACATAAATGTGCATACCAGCATATGCATGTGTGTGCATATATATGCATACATACATTCAAACATACATAAATACATAAATAAAGAGAAATAAAGAGATAAATATCTGCATGTACATACACACACACACACACATATATATGTGTGTATACATACCTATGTATATCTAAATATCCATATACATATCCATACATACACACATAAACACACACATATATGTACATACATATCTGTGTATTGTGTGCATGCGCGTGTAATTCCGCTTGCTTCCCCGCGTGCGAGGGCGCGTGTTTTATCTCCAATAAACGTAAGATCATCTCGCAAAGCCGTCTTTTGGATCGGCCCGACTGCCCGATGGCTTAATATAAACCTACGTTATTGATGGCACAGTGCCACGCGCCCAGGCGGACGGCGGCCGAGCGGGAGGCTGGGGTGCTGCACGAGGATAAGGATCAGCGGACGTATTGCAGCAGATCGATCGATAGATAGATAGATAGATAGACAGGGAGGTGAATTAGAGAGTAACAAAGAACGTAACTTATCCACACACACACACACACACAGCACACACACACACACACACACACACACACACACACACACACACACACACAACACACACACATCACACACACACACACACACACATACATATATATATATATATATATATATATATATATATATATATATATATATATATATATATATACATATACGAGTGCGTGCGTGTTTTATATAAGGCATATACAATATCCTATAACACAACACAAACAAAAAACAACCGACTAGACATGCAAACACTCCACACTCAGAACGATCCCGATATGATAATGCTATCCAACCGAATCACATAATTTCGTATCCGAAGCCATTACGCTGCGTCAACCATCGAGGCAGACCCATCTCCAGTGTTTATGCTCGGTCGCGGAATCACGTAGCAAGCCATTGCCAGCTCCTAGTGCTACATTTGCAATCGCGGACACTCTTTCAATACCTACGAGCTAATAGCGATAGGTCATCGGAGGTCAACCGATCTCTCGGGGTCAGATCCTTGATTTTGGGGTCATTTACGGCATGATATGTAGGGGTTGTGTAAGGGTATTGCGTAAGGTATTATGATCTTTATGGACCTATGGTGTCTGTGATGAATCGATGGTGAAAAGCCGGCGAGGGGGGGGGGGAGGGTGATCTCTCAGGGCGGGAAACAAAGTGATTGAAGATGGCCGTGGGGAGAGACGTGGAGAGAGAGAGAGAGAGAGAGAGAGAGAGAGAGAGAGAGAAGAGAGAGAGAGAGAGAGAGAGAGAGAGAGAGAGAGAGAGAGATGGATAGACAGATAGAAAAAGACAAATAAACAGACAGATGGATAAAAAAAGAGAAAGATAAATAGATGGACAGATAGATAGATAGATCGAGATAGATAGAGATATATAGATAGATAGATAGAGAGAGAGATAGAGAGAGAGAGAGAGAGAGAGAGAGAAGAGAGAGAGAGAGAGAGAGAGAGAGAGAGAGAGAGAGAGAGAGAGAGAGAGAGAGAGAGAGAGAGAGAGAGAGAGAGAGAGAGAGAGAGAGAGAGAGAGAGAGAGAGACAAACACACAGAAACAGAGACAGAAAGAGGGAGCGCCAGTCGCGGAGAACAAACACTCCGGGAAAGGCGGAAACGCGAGGAGCGAAAGGCAACACCTGCCAGGTAAGACGAGGCGGAGACAAGCAATTTCTTATCCCTCTCTCCGACGCACGTCTCGGGGCGTTTCAGGCGACAACAACGCCCTCTTGAGGAGCTCCGAGTAGATCTTGATGGATGGTCAGGTTCCCACGCCATTTTTCAATATCGAATATCATCATGGTATGCCTCTCTTCCTCTTTCTTCTACTCCTCTTCTCCTCCTCCTCTTCGCTTAAGTCTACACCCCCTCTTACTCCTCTCGTTCCTATATCCCCCTTATCCTTTTCTGAAAACCTCCTTGTCCTCTTGCTCCTCCGCTCACGCCATTTTTCAGTATCGAATATCATCATGGTATGCCTCTCTCCCTCTTTCTTCTACTCCTCCTCTTCGCTTAAGTCTACACCCCCCCTCTTACTCCTCTCGTTCCTATATCCCTCTTCTCCTGGAAACCTCCTTGTCCTCTTGCTCCTCCGCTCCTCTCCCTCTCTTGTCCCTCTTTCTCTTCCCCCTCTTCCCCTTATAGCCCCTCCCCTCTTGTCCTTACAGAACCCTCCTTTGTTTTCCTGACACCTCCCTATCCCCTTCCCTCCCTTATTCCCTCCTTCCTTCCCCCGACATCACCTCTCTGCTCCCCTTCCGATCTGTTTATTCGTCTTTTGAGGTCTATTTAGTCTGTGAATCTTCTATATGTCGAATATTCTGTTTTCGCGCTGTTTTGTTTGTTATGCATGTTTTTCTTTGTTCGTTGGTATCTTTTTATGTTTATCATACACGGGCTCTCTCTCTCTCTCTCCTCACACACACACACACAACAACTCTCTCTCTCTCTCTCATCACACACCATACATCTCTCTCTCTATCTCTCACACACACACATCTCTCTTCTCTCTCTGTGTCTCTCTGGTCTAGCTGGCTGTCTCTCTCTCTCTCTCACACACACCCCTTCCCCCCTCTCTCTCTCTCACACACACACCTTACCCCTCCCTCCCCTCTCTCTCTCTCTCTCTCTCACACCCATCCTCCATCACACACATACGTCTTTCGAAACCAGAATCGAAGAACAAAGGCAACAGAACATCGAGTTATAGACAAATATGTTTTGCCATAATATGTTGACAACGTTTCGTGTTCTTATCATGTTTCCATTATTACAAAGGACAGAAGAACAATTACACCGTACGCTGATTTTGATATGTTGTTAAATGATGTACGTTCGCTGGATTTATGTTTTGCGAATATGTGGCGGAAAGACGATTAATTTTTCCTTCCCTTTGGGTTTTTGTCTCTATTACGCAATGGGTAGTGTGGTGTGGTGTCTCTCCTGTCCCTGTCTTTTATCTCTGTTTTGTTTCTGTTTCTTCTTCCCTCTCTTTCTCTCTCTCTATCCCGTCACTCTCTCTTTCTCTCTCTCTCTCTCTCTCTTCTTCTCCCCTTCTCCCTCCTCTCCCTCTCCTCCTCTCCCTCTCTCTCTCTTTCTCTCCCTATCCCCTTCCGCCGCACAATCGGCCACTCACGCCCCCCCCCTCACCCCCACCACAACCCTCGGAAGGCCAATCAGACAGTGCCAATTTCGCCGCGCGTCAGATCACGTGATATGATTAATTTACTGAGACAGGAACCTTTGTCGCCCTCTCCTCCCTCTCGCCTCGCAAAGACTTTCTCTCCTTCTCTCTTTTTTTTTCTTCTCTTTCTGTCTGTCTGGTTGTTTGTTTGTATGTTTGGCTTTTATTTTTTTTTATTTCTGTTTCTCTCATTTTTATCTGGCTCTCTTTCTCTAATCTTTCATTCACTTCTCCTCTCTTTTCTCCTTACTTTCTTTCTCTCTCTCTCTGTCTGCCTTTCCCTCCTCATTCCCTCTCCCCGTCTTTTTCCTCTGCCCTGCCTTCTCTTGGTGCTGTCCTAC